TAGAGTAGTCAGGACTGGAACCAGCACTCCTATGGGATGCTAGCAACACATATGAGGCTTAACCTGCTGTACCACAATGCTGGCCCCTACGCAGGTAATTTGATGGTATGTGTGAGAACCATCATGACCAAGGTATTTCTCCTTAGTCCACTCTTCCAACCCTTGGAAGGCATCATGCTTCCATCACTATGATTTGGAGATTTATAATTTCTACAACCTGCCAGCAATCACTTAACTCATATTTATTGCACTAGTCATTTTATCTGTTCCATTTGAGCATCACCATGGATGGGGATCTTCCACAACCTAATTTACCTTGTTCTAATTTGGTATTTCATGCTGTATATTCTCTTTTTTAAAAGATTCATTTATCTATTTGAAAGGCAGAGTTTTAGAGAGGCAGAGGCAGATAGGGAGAGAGAAAGAGAGAGAGTGTGTGTTATCTTCTATCCACTGCTTCACTCCATAAATGGCTACAACAGCCAGAGCTGGGCCAATCCGAAGCCAGAAGTCAGGAGCTTCTTCTTGGTTTCCCATGCTGCAGCAGGGGCCCAAGCACTTGGGCCATCTTCTACTGCTTTCCCAGGCCATAGCAGAGAGCTGGATCAGAAGTGGAGCAGCCAGGACTCAGATCAGCTCCCATATAGAATGCCAGCACTGCAGACAGTGGTTTTACCCACCATGCCACAGCACTAGCCCCAGGCTATATATATTCTTATGTCAGACCATTTCTCCAAAGTACACTATTGTTCAAATTGAAAAGTTCCTAGCTTCTGTGCCTATTTACCTTCAGCTCCAATATTGGAATTGGCTCCAAAGAATACAGGTCCATCTGCTGCCCCTCATCAGTGCTGCTCAAGCACCAATTGTCTAAAAGGAAACAGCAATCTCAGCCTCACACTCGAGAGCAACCAAGAAACCACAAAGGCTTAAAAGACCCAGCATCCAACAAGTCACAGGCAATAGATAACAATAGCAACAAAAAGTAGAATACAAATACCAGCATCACAGATTTTTATGTAAAAATCTCTCCCAACTCTTTCTTTTCATGATCACCAAAGTCATTATTTTGTTTTTATCATAGGTAGTTTTGAACTACAATTTCCTTTGAATTAAATAGATATCCATTGTTTCATCCTGTGCAGACACAGCTTTTGGAATTTCAATTAAGAATATCAGAAAATGCAACTAAAAATAGAATCAAGCATTATAAGTGACTTTTCCTACCTCTCCCAAAAGTTCAAATGGAACAATTCTGGAAGGCCCTTAAAATGCATGCAGCATTGCCTGGGCCCCTCAAGGACAAACTCAAACAACAGCAGACATTGAAGGTAGAGCATAGATCAGTTTCAACTTTATATTCCCATTACAATCTCATTATACCAAATGTCAATTTCAGTAACAATCAAAATAAGTTTTAGACACTTTGTCTTTACAGCAAGAACTTTATTGTGTGCATTGACTAAATGTTGCCATGACTGGGGTTTGGATTTTGTCATTACTACCCAACCGCAAGAGCGGAGACATACAAGCACTTTCTTCATGGTAACATCATGGATAGAACTCAGATCCACAAAGTATTAAGATATTGTTGTTCTATTTTATTTATTTATTTTTATTTGTTTGAAAAGCAGAGAGAAAGAGACATACAGAAAAAGACCTTCTATCCACTGGTTCACTCTTCAAATGCCTGCAACAAGGGCCTATGTTGTGGTGCAGTGAGTTACGCCACAGCCTGCAACGTCAGGTGTCATGTGGGAACCAGTTGGAGTCCTGGCACTTGCCACCCAGCTCCCTGCTAATGTGCCTAGGAAAGCAGCAGAAGACAGCCCAAGTGCTTGAGTACTTGCCACCCACATGGGAGATCCAGTCGGAGTCCCGGGCTCCTGGTTTTGACCTGGCCACCAGGGCCAGGAACCAGCAGATGGAAAATCTCACTCTCTTACTGTAACTCTGCATTTCAAATAAATAAATAAACCTTTAACTCAAAAAATGCCCACAACAGCCAGGGGTGGGCCACGCTAAAGCCTGGAGTTGAGAACAAAATCTGAGTCTCTCACATAGTGGCAGTGACCCAAGTACTTCCATCATCACCTGATGCCTCCCAAGGTGCACATGAGCAGAAAGTTGGAATTGGAAGTTGAAAATTGGAATTGGACTCAAACCCGGGCACTCTGATGTGGGATGTACAAGAAGAGTTTTAACCACTATGCCAAATGCCTACCTCTAAGATTTTGTTTCGCCAAATCCAAACAAGTTGACCAGCTATTAAATTACCTGCTTGAGCCTGGGTGAAATCAAGTCTGTTATAGATGAAGAAAATCGCCACCCTTACGACCCTTGGAAACTTAGTTGTTTAGAATGAACGACTTACTTAGAGACCAACAGTAGTAGAGTTTCCCATTTTGCACTATCACATAGCTTTAAGTAAAGAAATTTTCTTGGCTACCTGCTGTATGCATTTCAGCAAAGAAGTCACCAGCATGGGCCACTTCCATGAGGAGCCACCAGTCTCTCAGGGCTGAGGAGGCCAGATGACCTGAGCTGACTTTGGATTACCTTTGGGAAGACTCAGTCAGCTTCCCCTTGTGCAGCTCAAATTTCTTTTTCTTTTCTTTTTTTTTTTTTTTTTTTTTTTTTTTTTTTTGACAGGCAGAGTGGACAGTGAGAGAGAGAGACAGAGAGAAAGGTCTTCCTTTACCGTTGGTTCACCCTCCAATGGCCGCCGTGGCCAGTACGCTGCGGCCAGCGCACCATGCCGATCCGAAGCCAGGAGCCAGGTGCTTCTCCTGGTCTCCCATGGGGT